GAGCTTCCTTCCGGGTGCTGGGACTGGCTCACCTTCTCTGCCCTAGGAGCCTGGGATGGAGTCAGCGAGCTTCCTTCTGGGTGCTGGGATCGGCTCACCTTCTCTGCCCTAGGAGCCTGGGATGGAGGTGGGGAGCTTCCTTCTGGGTGCTGGGACCGGCTCACCTTCTCTGCCCTAGGAGCCTAGGATGATGGCAGGGGAGCTTCCTTCCAGGTGCTGGGACTGGCTCACCTTCTCTGCCCTAGGAGCCTGGGATGGAGGTGGGGAGATTACTTCCAGGTGCTGGGACCAGCTGAGCTTCTCTGCCCTAGGAGCCTGGGATGGCAGCAGGGGAGCTTCCTTCTGGGTGCTCCCTCTGTCAAAAATCAACTGGCAAAAAACAACTAATTGTCTTCTTTGTTCTACTGATCTATTAGCTTAACTTTATGCCAGTATGGTGCTGTTTTGACTACTGTAGCTTTACAATAAACTTCAAAATCAGTTGTATAAGTTCTTCAACTTTGTTTTTCTTCAAAGTCATTCCGTATATATCTGAATTTCCATAAACATTTTAGAACAAGCCTGTCAATTTCTAAAAGAAAATAACCTTCTGGGTTTTTGTAGCTTGAGATTGTGTTGAATTTTTAGATTAATCTGGGGAGAATGGATATTTAAACAATATCAAATCTCCAATCTAACAATGTGGCATATTCTCCATTTATTTATGTCTTCTTTGATTTCATTTCCTCCAGCAATGTTTCATAGTTTTGAGAAATTTATCCTGAATTGTTTTATATTTTGGTGCTATTTTTCAGCAATGTGGTTTTTAAAATTTCAATTTTACATTGTTTGTAAATAGAATATGGAAATAAAATTGATTTTTTGTATGGTGATCCTATTGTACAATCGTGCTAAATGTATTTATTAGTTTTGGTAGACATTTTTATTGAGTACACTGTATATTCTACATAGTCAATAATTTTGTTTGTGAATGAAGACGGTTTTATATATTCTTTCCAAATCTGGATGTCTTTTTTTTCCTCCCTTGTTCCATTGGCTATAGCTGTAATCTTGAATAGAATCAGGGTGAGCAGAAACCTTTGTCTTGTTCCTGAGTTTAGGGAGAAGATATTTGATCATTTATCATTCAGTTTGAAGTTAGAAAGTATTTGGTGAGAGTGCTTATCTGGAATGGATGTTATATAATTTTTCTCTACTTACTGAGGTGATCATATTGTTTTTCCATTTTGGTATGTTAATATGTGAGTGACACTGATTTTTTTTTTTTTGGTATGGGGGATCGAACTCGGAACCTTGTGCTTGCAAGGGAGGTGGCGGAACCACTGAGCTAAATCCCCAGCTGACGCTGAGTTTTTTGTTTGTTTGTTTGGTGCTGGGGATTGAACTCAGGACCTTGTGCTTGCAAGGCAGGCAGTGGAACCACTGAGCCAAATCCCCAGCTCCTACACTGAATTTTGAATGTTAAACTCATCTTTTCTCTTGGTAAAAGCCCCCATTTGCTTATGATACATTATCCTTTTTATACTATTATAGATTTGATTTCTTAAAATTTTTGATGTATGTTGCTGACAATTCTTCTGGAATGTCTTTCACTGGCTTTGGTACCAGAGTCATACTGGCTTCTAGAATGAGTTGAGCAGTAGTCTGTCTGCCTCCGCTTTCTGGAATAGTTTTTTGGACTTGGTATCCCTTAGGAAACATTTGGGAGAATTGTCTGAAAGGCATCTGGTCCTGGAGGTTTTTTTTGTGGGAAGGGTTTTGACCATAAATTCAATTTCTTTAATAGATTCAGAAATATTTGGTTTATTTATCTCCTCTTGAACAAGATTTCATAGTTTGTGCCTTTAGATAAATTTGCACATTTAACTTGTATTGAATTTACCAGCATAAAGTTTTTTATAATATTAATTTATCTTTTTAGAATCTGTAGTGATATCATATTTCTCATTCATGATATTGGTAATTTGTGTTTTTATCTCTTTTCCTGATCAGTTAGGTTAGAGGTTAGTCTATTTTATTCATCTTTGTGAAGAACCAGTTTTTTTCTATTTTTTACTTTGTTTTCTGTTTTTCAGTCTGATGTTTTCTTTTTCTGCTTAGTTTGGGTTTAATCTACTTTCTTTTGGTTCTATTTCTTAAAGGGCCAGTGTAGGACATTAATTTGAGACTTTTCTTCTTTTCTAATGTAGGTATACAGTGCAATAAATTTTCCATCAAATTTTTATTAGTTCTCATTTTCATTCAGTTAAATGTACTTTTTAATTTCTCTTGATTTCTTCCTCAGCCTATATGTATATGTCATATAGAAATAGAAAAGATCATATTTTTATAAAAATAAATGCTGGAATTGTTAAGAGACAGAAACACTAGTATTTTCCAGATAATTAAATAATGACAAGCAATTTTGAAGGTGAGAAATAATTCTAATTAATGTTCTGGTTTCTTGTAGTGGTGGCAAATCTATAGCACACGTGCAGCAGTGGGCTGTTTGTTATTACTGAAAGCTCTAAAAGGTTCACCTTCACTGTTATAGGGTAACTGCTGAAATAAAGGAACACCAAATACAAGACTTCTGCTGATTGTTACTTACAAAGATGTAAAGTGAGTCATAGTCTGGGGACATGGATAAGCTCTCAGGAGGTTTCATACTCAAGATTGAAGGCTTGGCAGAGAGTGGAGATGTTGAGTCCTGTTTTGGCAGTGTTATGATGGTGGTAACTTCATCCTGTCACAGATCAAGAACCACCTGTTAATCTTGATGCCAGGACAAGAGGGTAAAGGTGAGAGCTATTCTGGAAGGTAGGGATGTGTTACCTCAGCTCCTTGCTTCAGGGGCCGTATGAGCTTTTGAGGTTTGTAACTTGTTGAAGACTTGTGGACAGAGAATGGCTGGTATCCCTTAATTTTGTACAGCTGAGGAACCTAGAGGTGAAAGGAGACAACTGACTGAATGTCTTGAAAAACCCACTACCATTTGGTGGTGTCTACTTCTCAACCACAGGTGTAGCCATTGGATTGTGGCAACTGTTAGTTTGGATTGTTGGACTGGACTGCACTGGACAGAATTGGAGCCAGCCCTGAGCTCTGTTCTGGGTCTCAGCACGTATCAGTGTTCATGATTGCTTTCTCATGCCCTATGGTTTAACTGTGAAATACTTTAACTTTCAAGCACAGAAGTGATTATGTACCTCAAGAAAGGCTGACTAATTTGTAATCACTTTGTCTTGAATTTCCTAATAGATAGAGTCAAGGTACTTCATGTATGCACACTATATGACATGCCCAACGCAGAGAGATCCTGATTTCCATAGCCACATTAGGGAAAAGAGTCTGGGGTACTTCCAACATGCCGTAATTATAAGAGAAATATACCATATGCCACTCAGTATAATCCATAATACAGCAAAGCCAATTAAACAATGCAATTTAAATTCATTTCATAAGCACCAAAATAATTAATGCTATGTGACAAGTCTGACCTGCAAATTGAAGAAGGAATAACTCTGCTTGATTTGAACATCCAAAGGCTTAATTGGGACCAGTCCAAGGCCACCAGGAGCCTAAAATGTGAAAATTAGAAAAAATGGACAGTCAACTCTGGGCAAAAGCAGCTACACTCTACTGCATTTTGAAACATTAAGTGAACAGTTCTACTCTCAGAGCAGCCCCCCTCATGACTGCAGTTGCTGCTGGATCCATCCCCATGAGTGTATGTGAATCTTATTTTTACCCTGTACTGTCGCAAGCTGCAACGTGTCACCCATTACCCCTTTCAGGCTCGAAGGAGTCAATCCTCCAGCTGTTCAGTGTCCTGTTGATGGAAACATCTGTCGGGGTCAGCCCTCTTCAGGAGCTGCGTCATCCAAGGCCACATGCCCCTCCCCCCAGCTGCCACCAGGGACAGGCTGAAGCCCAGGTGCCAAGGCCAGGTCCTCTCACAGTCTGCTAGCTTCAGAGTTCCTCTCTGGCTCAGCCGAAGCCTTTGCCAAGACAGACTGCAGGCCTGTTTCTTCGTTCAGTCCTGTTCCCTGTGCTGGCTTTCATGATACTGTTCTTAGAGCCTTTGTGGCATGTTCATCTGCCTCTGACACCCAGAGAACCTGGGACAGGGCCTGGCACATGATGGGCACTCAATAAATACCATAATTCACCGAGTCTAGGACATCACCATTCGATTAATCATATGCTATGTTAATAGCCATTATTTGTAAGGAAATTTCCCAATTTCAAAGATGCTGAATGGAAAACAAAGTGCATTTTGGAATGGATGAAATACAGTATTTATGGAATGAATTAATACTTTTTTTACACAAATTCTAAGCATTCTATTTTTCATCAACCCCAGAACAGCAAAGAAGTCTTAGTAGCACTATCTAAAAACCAAATGAAATGCATAGGTTTTCACCTATTTAGAAATAATGAGGTGGCTCCATGGCACAGTGATGACCTTATTTCACCTCGTTAATTATTGGGTGTCAAATATTTATTATTACATGAAGATCACAGATTCATTATTTCCTAGGAACCAAATATTTTAATCTTTTAAGTCTTTTAATTACCAAAAGCAGAAAACATATGGAACTTCTAAATTCAGTCCCATATTTTCTTGATTAGATGAACCAATAATGCTTCACAAATATTTTGGGATATGAATGGCAAGTTTATTCTTTGAAATTAAAAAGTTATTTTGCACATGCACTCGCAATAATGATTTAAGCACACTCTTTAGTTCTAACTTTGCAAACTTGAGCAACATTTTATGACTGGTTATGTGACTTCATGCTTCAGTTTTCTCATATCTAAACTGATAAACCTATCACAAAGGTTTGCTGAAAATTAAAGGGGTCATGCATACATTTGAAGTACTTAAGACCTTATGTACAATGTAAGGGTTATTTAACTATTACTATTATTTTGTTATAATGAATTTTGTTACAATGAATAATTGTGCCCATAAGTCAGAGAGAGAGAGAGAGAGAGAGAGAGAGAGAGAGAGAGAGAGAGACAGATCTGGATTGACCGTGATGGGTTAGCCTGTTAGATCTGTCAGATCCTGGGACCACATCCCCTCCTTACTAGGTTGGCCCAGTCTCCCATCTGAGCAGATTCTGCCTCTCTGGTCCTTTTTCCTCTCTGTCTGTCTGCTCTGAGGCCCTGTTCCAGACTAGGAAGGACCCAAGCCCAGTTGGCAGGAAGCTCTGCACAGGTGTACCAGGTACCCTGGGTGTTGGCAGGTAGACGATCCCTGGTTTCTCACAGGTCACAATTACCAGCACCGGCCTTGAAGCCTCTGGGGGAGGGGAAGCAGCCAAGGCAGGGGTTCTCTAGCAGCCTACCCAGCAGCCCTGGGATAGTGCCAGGCCCACCCACAGCAGAATGGCACCCACCAGCTCGTTGGAGTCCTGGGGAGGGTTATAGGACGGGAAGGTGAAGGGCAGCACTTCCTTGGGTGACACTGAGAACTGGTAAGAGCAATCCTGCTGATTGGTTCCTGACTGGAGGTACTTGCAGGGATGCTTGTCTATAGGTGAAGAACACAATAGTTCTTTCAGGAGGCTCTTGATGTGAAAGTACCATGCTTTAGTTGCACATTTACCCCATGCCACTTCAAAAAGAATATTCCTGTTTATATATGTACATATACATGCATATATATATTTCATTTTTAGTTTCCCTGTGTTCCTTACCTCAACCCCTTATCCAGTTTTTAAAAAATTATTTCACTTTGCTTCCAAAAACTATAATTCTTTAAAAAGTTTTATTACCAAGTATTATATATATTAATGGAGCTCAATGTGGTATTTCCATACATTCATATAACATGCACTGATTGACTCCCGCCTATTTTTCCCTCCCCCAAATCCTTAGTAACCACTATTCTACTTTTAGGTCTACCCAACACTTTAATTTTAATTAAAACAGCTCTTAGAATTCAGCAAATAAAAAGGTTAAATTACAAAAATTTTATAGATATCCACGTATGATTCGTGGGTAAATTTCACTTTTCTTTGGTAAAAGAAATGCTTCAAAACCAGAAATAAGAATAATATAGTAGGAAATAAAGAATAAATAAAATTCTATGAAATGTTTTGGGAAATAGAATATATACCTGGACCTTAGTAGAGGGAGGCAGAGAGCGTAGTTGCTGCTTAGGGAGGATGGGGGTGGGGAGGATGAGGGAACCTGGGCAGCTCAGGGCTCTGGACAGGGAGGGAGGGAGGTCCCAGGGGAGCAGGGCCTGCTGTGACCTTGAATATGAGCCCTAGATTGGAAATGGAAGTACTGGGAGAAGATGGTGACATGACTCTTGGGCTCCCACTGGGAGTGGGCCTCCAACAGTCCCAGCCAACCTGGGGATCAGAAGATTGAAATTTCTTTAAACAGCACAAATGTGAGATTTAAAATCTTTGTGTACAAGGTACAGATGGAGAAAACACCAGATTCAGTCAGTCCATCAGAAAATATAAATCCTGACTAGACTAGCGGCTCTGATGGCAAGAGGAATCGGGGCCCCAAAGAAGAGGTCAAGCCACAGCCAAACTCTACTGAGTGTACAACTTGGTCTGGGTGTCTGTTGACCTTATTTACTGTTAGCTGGGCAGATGTTTTGGCCAAACCTGGCATGGAGATCTGATTTACATCATATGAGAGGTAAGGCAATACAACCAGAGATATACATATCCTAGTCCCCAGAACCTCTAAAGATGTTAATTTATATGGTAAAAAGGACTTTGAAGGTGTGAATGACTAAGTTAAGTACTTTGAGGTGGGGGATTATTCTGGGTTATCCAGGTGGGCCTGATGAAATCACAGGGTTTATATATGAAGGAAACATGAGGCTAAGTCAGAAAGGGTGATGGGCTGATGGTAGGGTAATGTGAGGCAGGGCCCTGAGGAATGCAGGTGGCCTTTAGAAGCTGGAAAAGGAAAGGAAACATCCTTTCTGAGGCCTCCCAAAGGAAACCGCCTGCTGACACCATGATTTTAGACTTCTGACCCCCAGAACTGTGATAAAGAAATCTGTATTGTTTTAGGCCATTGAATCTGCGGCAGTTTGTTATAGCAGTAACAGGAAAATAACATGTGATTTATGGGAATATTTTATGGCTCCACAGTCAATTTTATTACAAAGAAATTTCACGCTCTGAAGGATTCTGGGCCTCAGTATCAGTAAACTCAGCTATACCTTACCTTGCACTAACGATTGCTTTACTGGATAGAGCTTGCTTAGTAAACTCTCTCTGTCTATTTTACGGATAGCAGTTAGTATTTTGAGTAACCGCTGCTGAAGCATGATCTAGAATTGGAAAGAATAATGATTTCAAATTACTAATTGATACATGCTCATTTGTATTCAACCTCATTCTCTTTCCCCAATCATGACTAGCAGCTGAGACTACCACTGTAAGAGAGAATTTAAGAATTTAAAAGGCATGCTGCCCAAGTCCATCGCCACAGGGACTTCGTGGTGTAGGCAGTGGGACCAGTCTGGATATCTTCTATCATTGTCTCATGCAATGTATGGGCCCTGGTTTTCTCTTATTTCAAGAGTGGAAAGAATGAGTAGTTCTACCTTCTTTCTGTTGTATACATCTGAACAGTAATACTTCCACTGTCCTGTTCTCTGAAACAGGGGACAAACTACATGGGAGATTCTACAGAGACAGGGCTGGGGCTCAAGCACTTTGTAATTCACACCACTGAGATCTGCGTCCGGAGCTTCGGTGTGCAGGCAAACACTCCTGTGCACAGAGCTGTGGTGGGAATGTTCATCCCTTCCACAATTAGCATTCCTTTTTCTCCTCTATAGAACTCTTTCATCTAACACATTAAGTGGCTACTTTGTGTCCAGCTCTGTGCAAGTCACAGGGGAAACAGTGAGGTGCAAAGCAATATCCTGCCTGCAGGGGGCTGACATTCTGAATGTGTGTGTGGTGGGTAGAAAAGGGTGACCTGAACCTTTACCTAAATAAACATGGTAAATACAGCACAAAAGTCAAAGAGGGTAAATGCATGAGGGCAGGGCTGGGGGTTGGAAGTGGAGGGTCTGCCCACTTATGCAAGGATGAAGGAAGGCCTCTCTGAGGACACTTGATGGCAGCCTTGAGTGACAAGGGGACATGATGATGGAAAGATCTCAGAAAAAAGAGCTCTGAGCACAGGAACGCACCAGTGCAAAGACCCTGATGCAGGAACAAAGAAAAAAATGTTCAAGGGACAGAAAAGAATTCAATGTGGCTTTTCAGTCATGATAAAAACTATGCATTTTATTCTGTGATGGCAAGCTTCTGAAAGGTCTTAGCCGGGAAAAGGTGTGGTCATTTTTACACTTTGCAAATCCTCCTCTGACCACTGTGTGGGGGACGTATAGCTGTGATCCACGTGAGAGATATTGGGCTGTGGCTGTAGCTGGACAGATGGCAGGGAACTATTAAGTTGGGGACAGACCGTCACACTGAACTGATCATACTGCTGAGGCATGGGAGAGAGACTGCTGCATCACTCAGAACAAAGCACAGAACTTCGGGTAACACTTTTTCCAGGTCGGAGGGCTCTCTGAAGGACTAAAGTGGTCCCACCAGGGGCACAGGCTCTTGCTGGTGTCAGCACATGGTCAGCAGCCGTGCCTTCTCCTTCGGAGCACAGCTTTGTGCTACATCTTTCTGTCCTCCCCAAGCATCCTGTTGCTACTCCTACTCTGCACATCCCCTATAAACAGGGAGCTCAGTGACACTAGCTCTACAAAGGTTTGGAGGCTGGTGGGAAGGTTACTGACAAAGTGACACTGGCACCTGCAGGCTGAGAAAGCTGCCTGAAAGACAACTTGCAACCCAACCACTGGAATCCCTTATATACACTCACTCATTTAATCTTCACAGCAACCCTACAATGGTCTAAGACAGGTCTAAGCCTCCTCTTTAGAATTCAGATGGGGAAACCAAGGCACAGAGATTATGTCACTTGTCCAAGACAAGAAAGCTCATAAGAAGTAGCACCAAGGATTAATTACACAGGCAGTAGGTCCCCAGAGCTTGGATGTCATAGTTTTAGTGTGGAATGTCCCGGAAAGGCCCATATGCTGGCAGCTTGGTTGTCAGCCTGTGGGGCTACTGGGAGGTAGTGGAACCATTAGTAGGTGGGGCCTAGTGGGAGGAAGTGAGGTCACTGGGGTGTGGCCTTGAAGGGGCTATTAGGACCCCACCCCTTCCCATCTCCCTCTGCTTCCCAGCCACAATGAGATGAGCAGCTTGCTCCACCACACAGTCTTCACCATGATATTCTTCCTCACCCTAGGCCCAAATAGCAAAGCAAACCAACTATGGTCTGAAACCTCCAAAACTATAAGCCAAAACAAACCTTTTCTCTTTATTAGTTGATTATCTCAGGTAATCTGTCACAGCAACAGAAAGATGACTAACACACACTGGATCTTAACCACAGCTCTTCCTTGCTTGAGGTGTGGCCCTGCTCCCTAGGGAAGTCACATTTGAGGGATGAGAAACCTACAGGTAGCATTAGAAGCTAAATGCACCAAGGAGATCCTGCTTGCAAAGATTGTCTCTTGGAGGAAAGGTGGACTTGAGCTGGCCTAGGAGACAGGCATGGGCTCACAGAGTTGAGCCGGAGAGGTATTTTAGTTGAAGGGTGAAGAGTAAAGAGCACAAGTTCCTAGTAGGAAACAAGCACGGTGTGTCGAGAAGGTGAGGGGACAACATGAAGGACTGTGGGCAGCTGGGAGGTGTGGTGACAGCCAGAAGGCCCCCTTCCACTCTTCAGTAGCACTAGAGACTCAGAAGCCTTCACTTCATCCTGACCTCAGGAAGCCTCAGAGATGTGCTCCGTGGGAGACTCCTGTGAGGCGAAGCCATGGCAGAAACATGACTTCTTTGAAGGGGAAGCTGTAAGCCCCATGTCAGGGACAAGATCCCACTGGAATTATCGTTGTTCTCTCTACAAACAACTGATTCAAATCCCACGTTTTGGAGTTATCATACACTGTGGCAGTTTCACTCCTAGGTTTGTGTACCCAAGAGAATTAAAATCATGTTACCACTAACTTGTACACGAATGTTCACAGTAGCATTGCTGATCATAGAATGAAGCTGAAAACAACTGGGATGTCCATCAATGGATGAACAGATAAAGAAAATGTAGTCTATCCAAAGAATGGAATATTATGTAATCATAAAAACGAATGAAATATCGATAAATACTGCTACATCAATGAACTTGAAAATATGTTAAGTGAAAGAAGCCAGTTACAAAAGGCACATATTTTGTGATTCTATTTATTTGAGATGTTCCTAAAAGGCAAGTCCATAGGGATGCAAAGTAGATTAGTGGTTGCCAAGGGCTGTGGAAGGAAGGACTATGGAGCTAATGGAGTTCCTTTTTGAGGTGATAAAAATGTCCTAATACTATAGTGATTATGACTGCCAGACTCTGGGAATAAACTAAAACCTACTCAGTTGGGCACTTTACAAAGCTGATTTTTTATGGTAGGTAAATTGTATCTTTAAATATATTATTTTTGGGCTGGGGATTTAGCTCAGTGGTGCTGCAGCCTGCCTCAAAAGTGCAAGGTCCTGAGGTCGATCCCTGGTACTTAA